AATATGTCTATATCTTAAATGTTCATCTTTTAAACCAGGTAATGTATAAGGTAAATTACAATCACCACCATAAACTGCTGCACCAGGATTACTATCACTATTTCTTATAGAAAATATAGCTGCAGCAGTACTAGTAGCAGGAACTGCTAAAAATATACCAGATCCAGCAGAAATTTCATCACATGCTGAAAATTCTTCTTTATAATAAACAGAATGTATTGGCTTTGTAGTTCTAAATTGGAAGAATTGATTAATATAATCTTCATGTAATTCATAGGTATCTACATCACCAGTATAATACATAAAATTAGTCTTATCAGTTGAATTATATGCAGATTCTGTTTTTATCCAAGCATATGCAATTGGTAATTCATCATATTCATCTTTTTTATATTGATATATTCCTTCATATGATGGCAATGAACGTAAACATAATTCTGATCTATTGCCTGGAGCATAATATGGTTTATAACCTGGATTATAATTATAGATATTTGTTCTTGCATTGAAATCATCCATATTATCTTGTAATGGAAAATCTACATTTCTATCAAAGTTAAGAACATATTTTTTATCTAATAAATCATCATTATCAATATCAGCATACCAAATCTTGATATTATCAAGATTTTTCATTGGAGAATAATCATCTTGGAATGTATGACTGTGTGAATATGTTAAACCTTTAGCTGTATTAAAGATTTTAAGATTTTCATCTTTATACTGGATGAAATTCATAATATCATCATAATTCCAAGGAAAATCAAAAGTTTTAGATTTATTATGTGTTGTATAATTTAAAACTTGAGAATCACTACCATAAGCCCAACCTCTTTGATTTAAAATTAAATATGGCAAAATCTGTGTATATTTGTTTATAATATCACTTCTATCATCCTTAGTTTCATATGGTACATGTTTATTTTTTATAATAGCATAAGGCCATATTTTACCAATTACTGTATTTGATGAATAAGTAAAATCACTTTCAATTTTTATATTATTTAGTGGTAATGTATATTTACTACTATCAGCTAAAGAAACTAAACTTACTTCTTCTAACCATGGCAATACAAATGTAATATTAACTACAGAAGTACCTATTGTAACTTGTGCAGTATATGTTTCTCTTTCTGTTTTTTCAGTAGTAGTCTCACCATTAGATGTAGTTGTTGTAACTGTTGTAGTTACATTACCATTTGTTGTTGTTTCAACTGTAGTTGTTGGACCAATTGTTGTTACATATTTAGATGGAATAACACATGTAGTAACACCTTGATATAATAAAGTTTCAATATCATTTGAATCACTATTTAATTTGTCACATGCATACAAATTATAATGTATTTCAAATTTACCATCATTATTTAATTTTTTTAACCAAAATGGATATTCAGTTACATATTCAGAAAAAGCTGTTTGTGTTGATTCTTTATAACTTCTAACTGGACGCATTATTAATTCAGTTTTACTACCAGAAGTTTTTCCTAATACGAACATTCTTGAATTTTCATATTTAGGAGGTCTTTCTCTGTTAGTTTTATTATCTGAATATGTTACATAATGTACACCTTTAATATCTAAATAACTACAATTAGCATTTTGATATTTACATGGTATTTCAACACCATTTTCAAAATTTTTATTTGTACCTAAACATTTAGGACATATTCGGTAATCATCAAAATTTGTATCATCATCATAATAAGTGTCAATATTACCTGATACAGCATAAACACTACCATCATCATTAAATGGTAAATAAATATCTTCTACACTATTAAATGATGTACCAATATACATAGTATCATCATTTGTTACTACGGCAGATAAAGCAGATGAAATATATAAATATCCATTATCAGATTCAGTATCAGCTCTTCTAAAAATTACATCATCAGCATGTACTTCACATATAGGCCAAGATCTCCAGTCATCAGTTGCTTTTACCGTAGTCTCTGGATCCAAACTTTCAACATTCATTGGATAATTTGTAAATGGTATACAATAATTATCATTTACTGGATCTTTAATAAATTGCCATAATATACCATATTTAGCAGCATATACATATTCATTATCTTGCCATGATTTATAATTAGCTTCTAATTTAGCTAAAAATGTTTCAACGGTATCTGATTCTGAAAATTCTAAACTTGAAGATGCAAAAAATGGTATATCACCTGGTACATAATCATCCATAGTATCATCTGTATAATTATATACTTTTATAAATCGATATATAGGTTCACAATAATTTGGATCCATGTTATCATTATGAGAACATATATAAATGAATTGTGCTTTTTTATCAAATCTATATGTTTTTATCCATGCATGACCAAATCCATGATCATCCAAATCCAAACTACCATCCCATCGAATTCCTAATCCATTTAAACGATTAGTAATTTCATTATATGCAATTTTTACTCTATATTCAGGTTCTGCTTTTATACGTTTATATCTAGCCATATCCTATTTATAGGCATAACAAAAAAGGACCCCTTTATAGGATCCTTTTTAATTTTTCTCTTTTATTTTATTTTAAACTAGTGATACAATAAACAATACACACATTGCTCCTGTAGTCAAAAACTGCCACTTTCCAGCCATCAGATTACTTATCATAGCCAATCCAAAAAATGATGCTAGAATAATTCCATATACAAATGCAAATGTTCCACCAACTCTTGTTGCTACAAAACACAAAAATGCCATAGCAATCACAATAAAAATTGCACCTGTTACTGCTAAATCATTACCTTTACTTTCCATGTAAAGATTTTCTCGTGCTGAGTCAGATACCGCTACTGTTAGCAGTTCTAAAGCACAAAAACCAGCAGTGATAAAAAACAACACATTCAACATTACTTCTTTCCTCCAGTAGACTTAGGCAATGCAAAATAAATTACAAAAGCACCAAGCGCAATCTTCCAAGACCATACAAGTCCCCAAAGATAACATACCAACCAGCTTGCACCAGCAATCAAAAAGAAATTTACAACAAGCAACAAAATAACGGCAAGTACAATAGCAACAGGTGAAGTCAAATTCTTAAAATTAATAAAAAACATAAAAATCTCCTTTTAAAGTATAAAAAAAGAATAATGAATACGTAGGGCATACTATCCTAGCGAATTCCGTCTGATGGTCGCGATCCATCTCACCGACTGGCTGCTTCCGCTACCCGTTTCATTCTTGGTTTGAGCAAGCGAACACGGACGGCTATTCATTATTCTAATTTCTATAGAAATTAGTCATCAAATTCATCATAATCAAGTTCAGCAGACTTGGCAAGAATTTCCTTCAGATTTGCCTTCTTGATAATGTTGAGGTTATAACCAAACTTATCCTTAATACCTTCATCGAAATGAAGTTCATAAATCGGCTGAAGATCCTTATAGGAATAAGCTGCGATTACCTTGTCACCCTTCATGATGACGTCATGTTCACACCACTTAGTCCAATCAAGCTTATAGCGCTTTGCAAGTTCAGAAATCTTTGCGCCAATCTTAAACTTCTGAAGACCAATTGCCTTCGGATCATAAGAATCACGTGCCTGGAAATAATCATCAAGGTTCTTCAGCAAGTTACGGTCAGTAATTACATGAGGAATCTTATTGAAAGTAACAGACTTACCATTCTGCCAATTCATCTGGATGCCCTGCATCAAGAGCTTTTCCTGCACATCGCTCATCTTAGCAACATACTTTGCATTTTCCACAACGAGCTTAGAATCCATTACCTGCTTGGAAAGAGCAATCAAATCATTCTTAACCTGATCAGTTTCCTTACGATAACGGTCTGCAGACACAACATAGATAAAGTCCTTAGAACGATACTTCTTAGTCTTCGTTTCTGCAACCTTACGATAAATTCGCATACGCTTCAGAGACGGACCCTTAATCAAATTGTGTGCAGTAAGGAAACGCTGGAATTCAAATGCTTCCTCTGCAGAAAGCGGTTCAACATGATCAATTACCTTACCAACACCACCCTTGGCAATCTTACGGCCAGTCTTCGGGTTAATGTTAGTCTTCTTTACAACCTTTACTTTCTTCTTAGTCATGGTAGCCTTCTTAGCAGAAGTGGTGGAACGGGAAGCCTTAGTGGCAGTGGTAGTCTTCTTCATAGTTAACCTCTTTAGTTATTTCTTTTATTTTAACAAGTAAAATATAAGTATTATTTTGAATTCTGTCAACCTATATTTTTGTAAAATTTTGTTTACTTAAGTACCTTAATTCGACTAATCTTGTCAATACCAATGTATCGAATAGATACTTCACCTTCATGCTTATCACTCAAAGTTGCACGATAAGCTTCATACTTCTTATCCCAAGGCTGAAATTCCTCACCATCAGCAGTCTTGTAAACCGTAGAAATATGCTTATCTTCATCAGGATAGACAAAGTAACGAAGCTGAATTTCACCAGTCTTGTTGTTGATAGCAAGCATATCTTCAAAACCTTCAACAAAAGAATAATCACCAATCTTCTTTTCTACGGTAGAACCATAACCATTAGATTCCTTAATCATCTGATAATTGACAGCTCCAACACGTGCTTCATAAACAGAAGTCTTCTTTACCTTAGTCAAATCAATTCCCATTACGTTGAGGAAAGAGTTTGCACCTCTACCCTTATTCAAGTAACGGCAACCTGTGCCAGTAGAAGTAATCTGGATGCGAGCAATGTCCTTATCTGCAAGGGCCTTAGAAAGAATGTTCTTGATAGTTTCGTATTTCATATTGTTAACCTCTTTTATTTTTACAAGTAAAATGTACTATTTATTTGACTGTTTGGTAACCCTGTTTTTTGTAAAAAGAAGTTTACATTCGTATTATAATAGGCCATGTTATAAGGCCTATAGTCATCAAAAGGATGCCAGAAAGCGCATTCTGGGGTCGTTTTATATGTTAAGCGATAAATTATATGGGTATATAAAAAAGCCTTCCAGATGCGTTCTGGAAGGGCTTGTTCGTAAGTTGTTAACAATAATTATAACTTAACTTCTGTTATATAATCAGCTATATTATTACTTTCTTCATCTTTTAAATTATCTGATTCAGATATTTTAAGTATTGTTTGTGTTTTAAAAACAATTTTTCCTTCAAAACCATATATACCATCATTATCATCATCTCCACAATATGCCATTATTAATCCTGGAAAATCAGCTTGAGTCCAATATTCAGAACTAGTATTTGGTACTTTGTTATCTGTGCCAAAGCAGCTAGTAGAATATTCAGGTAATTGTCGTTGATTAGTACTTTCAGCTTTAATAACATTATGCACAAATTTATTTCCAGCTGTATCTTTTAAAGATCTTTGTCCATTAAATATCATAGTACATGGTACATGTTTACCATCTTTACTTCCTTTAATAGCAGTAATACTAGTTGAAGTATAAAATGGATGTGTAGCTAAACATGTATATGTTAAATCAGGAACATCACCATTTATATGTATATGATCAGCTTCAGATGGTGAAAAAGGATATGATGTTATCAATTCAGCTATAGCATATCCATCTATTATGTTATTAAATCTAGGCAATGGTTGTGTATTTTTAGTCAATACTTTAAAACACCAAGTATATGTTGTTAACATAACAGGATCAAATGTATTACCATTTGCTATTTCAACTTCAATAAATAAACTATCTCTTTCAAAATTTAAATTAGAAGCTCTTAAAAAGTTCAATTTACTTGTGTCACCATCAAATTGTTGCATTGTTGCATCATTCCATCTTTTACTTGAACATAATGAATTAACTGAAGCAGTTACAACTACATCGTCTTTATAAAAATAATATGGTGTTGCATTTAAATTTTGTATCTTTAAATTATTAACTTGTATACCTGTTTCTTTATCACCATCTATATCAGTAAAGTCTATAACATTGCATACAAATTGATCATCATCATCTAATACAGGTTTAATACTTATTAGCTTATTTGAATATTGATAATTTTGAAAATCAGGTATTAAGCTTCCTAATATGGATTCCTTTTCTTCAGCTTGTGGTTCATCGTCAGCTTTGCCCCAATATTTACCCTTTAAAGTAACATGATTATTATATCCATCGGTATTAACATGCACAATTTTAAAATTCATATTAGCAGTAGGTATTTCGAAAGGTTCTTGCCATGTACCATACATTTTCTGTCGTTTTGATACAACATGTTCATTCCAATACATATTATCAATACCACGTTTTGTATACACTGAATATGTTTGATATGGTATATCGAACCAAAACAGATGACCTTTTGTATTTTTTTGAGCAATATAAGGTTTTATATCAAAATATGTTGGCTGTCTCCAACCAATACCATAATCATCATATTCCATATTGTATAATACAAACAATTTGTCATTTTCTTTAGTTGGTGATTGAGCATTTTCAGGAAATACATATCCTACATCGTCATCCCATGTAGCGTTTAATATTAGATCTCGTATAATACTATCATTATTACTGCTAGTTTTCCATTCGGCTTTTTTATTATCACCATCAACAGTAACTGTTAAAACATCACCTTGGGCAGCTTCATCCATAGATGGTAATGCATCAAATTTATCAAGTAAATTATCTACACCTATTTTAGTATAATATTCATCATGATTTAATTTTCTCCATGATAGTTCATCATCTTGATTTTTAACATCCCATTTGGTAATTTCAACAATTTCAATATCATCACTATCATTATATTTTCTATTTAATGTTAAACCTGTTGCATTTATATTATATGGTTCATCAGGTATATCTTCATCATCGGTTCCATACATTACAGTTTGAATAAACTGTAAATTATTAAGTTTATCATCAATGCTAGCTGTTGAATCTTCAACAGTAGAAACTCTTTCTTCTAAATCATCTAAATCTGAACCCAAATTAGTAACCAGTGTACTTAAACTATTTAAATCTGATTTTGTTGCAAAATTTGAACCAGTATTTATATTATCAATATACTGTGCTAAATCTAAAGTACGTTTTTCAATAGGTTCTATTGTTTTTGAATTTAAAAAATATCCATCAGCTACTGTACTTTTATTCCAGTGAGTGATAGGATTTTCTAACATTTGATCTTTTGCGCTTGGTTTTAATGCCATAATAAAAATCCTTATAAATATAATTTAACTTTTTATATTTATAAGGATAATAATTTGTTTTAATTGTTTGTATTAGCTATTCAATTATAAAATATATTTTATTATGATTAGGTAATTCAGAAACATTTGACATATCTAAATCATTTCGTCCCATTGGTTTCCATTCTTGATCAGTTGTCTTATATGTAATATCTTTTTTATTAGAATATACTACTTTATTATATGGACTTACATAAACCTGACCGATAAAAATTATATATTCTGTATCTTTTTCAAAATTAAAAGATATTGGAAATTCATATTTCCAAGCTTGAATTGTTGTATCATCTATAGAATTTAATGTTACTTCAGTTGGTGTTGCTGTAGCACTATTTCCTATACAATATAGAGATTTACCATTCATATCATATACAGCAAAATGTACACTAGTACCATTATTTTTATCAATAAAGAAACTTGCTTTTCTTGCTGTAAAAGATTTTTCTGGTACATATTTAGACATAGTATGAGAACCTTGACTATCAGTAAATGTATCAAATATAAAAGAAGTAGATGATATATCACCTTTACTAACAAATACATATTTATCTGTATTTGTAGTTTTTACTTTGATAGCTATATTATCATAGGTTAATACACTCATTTATTCACCTTCATTATTTGATTCTGGAGCTGTGTAGAAATAATCTTCTTCAGTTGCATATTGAATAGCATCTGCTGCATCAAGCATTGCAATATATTTATCAATACGTGCATCTGTTAAAAAATCATCTTTAATTTTTTCTCTATAAGCTATTAAGAATTGTTTAGCTTCACGGAATGCACCAATCTGTAACATATTGATAACAGTATCTAATTTTGAAAAGATAATCATTGGTGATGTATCAGATTCTTTAGTAAAATCAGTTAAAATACATTCTTCTCTAAATAACGAAATAAATTCATTACCGATTTGCATATTATATTCTATTTGTCCAGCTCTACCATCGATTTCAGCGATTTTAGATATGTTATGCCAAAGTTCTACATTATATCTTTCTTTAGAAACATTTTTACCAAAAATATCTAATATAGTATGATTATCATAATCTTCTAAAATATCTTTAGCAAATAAAGAAGTCCAATATGTTTTATTATTATAAACATATTTGCCATCTACAGTAATTATTGAACTAATAAATTTTTGCATTTCAACATCCTTTAATATAATACATTCATCTTTATAATGAGTCTTAACATAATCTTGAGCAGCATATAAATCAGAACATGTTACTACAATTGTTTCTTTCTTTTTACTATAAACATATATATTCATTATATTTCTTCCTTATTATGTTAATTCTCCATTTATCCATATATATGGGAACTTAGTTAAATCTTTTATTGAATCATTTGTATTTCCATTTATTGCTATTGTACCTTTATTATATAATTTTATGTCTTTAGTATGAACTAATATTGGTTCATTACCAACCCACCAAGCATTACTAAAAACTATAAAATAATCGGTATTTGCATTAAATGTATAACCATTAGTTATGTTATAGGTATAAAGATATGTAATTTTTCCATCAAAATCAACAGGTGTATTATCTTTTTGTAATGAACAACTTAATTGAATAACGTCACTAATACCAGATTCTGTTACTTTTCCAACATATACTCTAGGACCTGTCCATCCTCTATCTGTTTGATAAGCTTCAATGTTATTTAAAGTAAATGAATTTTCAAAATTAACAATAATACCATGATAATATTGATTGTTTAAATTACACCAAGTAATTTCATCACTGCCTTCTGGTGTTATTTCAAATTGTTTTGTCGCTGGACTTGATTGTTTATCATCTCTATTTGCAACAACAGTAAAATCATATATTCCAGGTTCTAGTTTTTCACCAATATATTCTTCAATCTGTGGTAAACTTAAAGTAACTTCACCTTGCAAATTGATTGGATTGCATGTAAATGGTGGATAATCACCAATAGTAATAGTCCAATCATCTACATATTCATTTACTATCTTTTCTTCAGATTCTTCATGTGTTACTGGATCAATTTCTTTACCTAAACAATTCCATGTAAATGATGATCTTTCTTCATCCCAATCATCTAATACTACAGTTGATAATGAAACATCAACATCAGGTACAATAAATGTTCCTGTGTAATTTACTCCATCTTTATTATATACTTGATAATAATCACCTGGAGTAATAATACCATTATCATCAAATTCTGGTTGAATAATTGCATTTGGATTATTTGGCATAAACATATAAATGGTCCATTTATATTCTCCTGGAATCATTAATGCTTTACCTATATTCCAATATATAAAATTATTTCCATTAAATGTTTCAAAATGATTTTCTGCATCTTTACCGTCATAATAATATGTAGTTCCAGAACCAATATGTACACATTTAGCAATAAATCTACTACTATAGAAATCAACAAATGATGCTATAACATTATTAGTAACTGCTTTATAATCTGAACCATATTTACTAATATCCCAACGACAATATTTAGAATCAACATGTAAACTTATTGGTGTAATTTCTATATCAATAGGTGTTTCATCTGGATCTATATCATTATTAATTGTTCCTATTACTTCATCACCTTTACATCCACCCCATTCAGTTGGTATATAAATTAATGTACTAGGAATAACCCAAGCGCTATCACCATTTATATCAGTAAACCAATATTTTAGTGTATATTGCATTTTATTGCCAAAGAAATTTTCAGCATCTGTTAATTGATCTTTTAATGAATCATAAATTTCATAAAATTTTCTTTCATCTAAATATAAATCTTTATTTACTTTAACATTATTTAAAAGTTTCTTAGCATTTGTTGCTGAAGATAAACCATCTATCATTGTATCTATCTTTAAATCATCTATAGTAGTTCCTGCAATTACTTCTCTAACATCACTACATGTAGATAAATTTAACCATGATGGTATATTTGTAATTCCAGTATTTTTTAAAGCATAAGCAACAGAGGTACATCCAGTTGGCCATGAATTAGGTACTTTTTTTAATCCTTTTGATTCTTTATCTGTTTGAAAAAATGCACTTTGTAAATCTGTTCCAGTACATTTATTCCAATTAACAATTTCAAAATTACCAGCGGGAATATATGCAATTTTATTATTAATTGATTGGCCATGTGTCCATATTGTATAATTACTAGCTACATTTATATTTGATTCTGATTCTAACCATCCATAGGTTTTTACTATTTTGTTATCATTCTTTTGAATATATGATCCATTAGTACCATTATCATATAATGTTATATCAGTATCAGTATCATTATTTTTAATACCTATTTTACCATAGTTAATAGAATCATTATCTGGTTTTGTATATTCAACTTTAGATGAACCAAAAACGGCACCTACAACTTCACGTAAGTTACCATTATAATCTAATACAGCATATCTTGCTTTTTTATCACCAAATCTCATGTTAATCCACTAATAAATAAAGAGTTTTTGCTACTATTTCTGTTGGTGCTGTTTCACTAACGACAACTTTTAATACAGTACTCTGCGTTGATACCACTGCTTCCGTTACTGTTACTTTGTCCGCACCTTCTATAACATTAAATCCACTACCAAATTCAATTTCTTTAGAATCTGCTATTTTTGAAGCTTCAATACCAACATCAACAACATCACCGTCTTCATTTTTTACTGTAAAATGTTTAACATAATCTTCATATACTATAGCCATAATATTACCTCTTACTTATTTATATATCAAAAAGACCAGCCTTTTTGACTGGTCTTTTAATTAAATGTTTATTTAGAAATTATGCACTAGTTAAATCAATGCATCCTTCACTAAAAGTTGGTAACTTAACAATACCTGGTGTATCTACAGTTGCTGGTTGTGCTTCAGTTCCTGTTGCATTAATTATAACTTTAGGTCCACCATCAGAAGCAGTTTTAGCTTCTAATGAAATACCAGTTCCACCAGTAAGTTCTAATGTTTTATTAGTTGATGTTGCTTTTGCTTCAACTGTACCAACTTTAATTGTTGTATAAGATGGATCTTCTTCTGGATGTGTATATACATTAACTTCTGTACCATCAATTTTAATGTTTCCATTTATAGTAGAAGCTTCAACTTTATTAGCACCTTCTGAAATACCTTCTAATTTAGTCTTATAAGCATTAGTAAAATCCTCTGTAGATAATCCTTTACCATCTACTTTTTCTACTTTATTTGATAATAAACTATCAACTTCTGTCTTAGTATAATAATTTGACAAATCTACATCAGTATCACCAATTTCTTCCCATGCATATGTTGGTGATGATTCTGTTCCGCCTTTTACTGTAATATGTTCTGTATATCCAGTTTTTCCTTCTTTAGAAACTAAATAAATTTTTCCTAATGTTGTTTCATCAGCTGGTGGCAATTCATCAACAACTACAAGTTCCAATTTACCTAATTTATTAATTTCTTGTGCAACATAAGAAATTACAGCAGAATCTGTTACTAATTTTCCAGCTCCTGTTGTATCAATTTCAGTTACATATAAAGTTTTATCAATAGCAATAGCTTTACACCAACTGTTGCCGTTTCTCCTGTACTTTTAGAAACTTTAAAATTCCATACATAACCGTCATTATATTTAATGCCTTCTAAATCATCTGTAGCCATGTTTTATTCTCCTTATTCTATTTTGTAAAATCTAAACATCCATCTATAGTATTATTAGGACTAATATCAACATCAATTTGAATTTTATCATCACCAGCGGTAACAACTTTAGTATGTTACCATCAACTATATTAACTTTAGAACTTGCATCAAGTTCAGTCCATGCACCGTTTTTCCATCCATACATTTTATCTTTTGATTCTTCATCTGATGGTGGTAATGGTATTTTAGTCCATGCTTCAATTTTCTCAGGTTCAATCTTAGTCCATGCTTCAATAGTACTTTTCCATGGATTAGCTAATCCAAGAGGTTCTCCTGGACGGCCAGTTCCACTTAGAGTATTATCAGTTTCTACTGAATCAATTGCTATCCATTGTCCATTTTTTTACTATTGCCATAAATTATACCTCTAAATTATTTATAACAAAAAAAGAGACCTTAATTAAGGTCTCTTTTTAAATTTTATTGTAATCTTTATTTATTCTACCAATAAACCAACTACAAATGGCTTAGCCTGATCTGGGAATTCAGTTATATCCAAAGTAACAACTTCAACTTCAGTTTCCTGTAAAAGAATGTCATTATTAGTCTTTTCCTTATTCTGAATTCTTACTAGCATTTCATGATATTTCTTTTCTAATTCAGCAATTGCTGCATTAAATTCAACAATCATTTCAGTAACAATTGGATTCTTAGTCTTATCATCAATCTTCATAATGCCCTGTTCATCACGGTCAGCATATTTTTCAAAAACTTCATTTCGTTCTTGCAAGAATGGTTCCCATTCAGTTTCCTTACGTTCATCATACATATCATCATTGATTTGCATAACAGTTGGAAGTAATGTTTCAGCATTCTTAAATAACATCAATGAATACTTAGCATTAAGACCTTCTTTTGCTGTAGACTGATTAAATTCATTAAACAGTGCTAGAATGTCCCTGTTCTTTAGTGTTTTCTTGACTATTTTCATTATCACCTCTATTATTAACGTTTTGTTCTTCAGTTTCTTGTTCTTCAGTTTCTTCTTCCGGTTTTTCAACAGGCCTTCTGATTCTTTTAATTTACTTTCATAAAATTTATGTAAAAAACTATATAAATGCTTACATACACTTGGAAGCTGTTGAGCATTTTCTTACTTTATTGGCTATTTTAGCATAACTTGGTATCTGACCAGCCATTACGCCATTCTTAGCGTCTGGATATGCCGTGTTGAACCTAAAAGCTGGACACGTACAATTTACTTTCCCAACCATTTCGATGCTCCAGAGCGTCTCTGGGCTATCCCTATGAAACTCTGCAATAACACCATAACTATCACTACCATCTTCTGACTAACCTGTCCAGTAACTTTCATATCTGAACCTTCCCAGCCATCTATTTTACTAGAAACTATTGGAGATCCTCTTAGAATATGGAAATACTTTACCAAAATTATCTATAAGCTGATGTAATGTTGGCTGATTTGCTTCTGCCAAATAAGCTTTCTTTTCTTCTTGTTCTATGTATTGTTTAAAATTTAGCTTCATAAACTATTTATAGCTTAGCTCTATCTTCCTTAGTAAGAATTCTCTGATTTTCTACTTCCTCTAAATGCCAAAGTCAAATCTCGTTCTTCCAACTTAAATGGGCCATCTATCAATACATCAACCATATCTAAAATATAATTAGTAGTACCAAATACAAATTGTCTCTGACCTTGTTTTAAATCTTTTTCATAGATATAACCAGTATACATCCATAAAGTCTTACCAGGACATTTTTCTTTAAATTTCTTAATAAAAGCATGTAAAGCTAATTGATTTTCTTTTTCAAATGGATCTCCACCTAATATAGTTAATCCACTTACATATGGTTTATTACATGCTTCAATTATTTCTTCTTCTTCAATAGGAGTAAATGGTTTACCATAATTAAAATCCCATGTCACTTCACTAAAACAACCTTTACAATGATTCCTACAGCCACTTACAAATAAACTTACTCTTACACCTTCACCATCAGCTGTATCAAAGAATTTTATATTTCCATAGTTCATATTTATGCCTTTAAAATTAACTTAATTCAATACAAAAAATAATAAAAAGGTAAGCTTTGTAAACTTACCTTATTATATATCTGTCGAAAATTTTATATTAAAACAACATATTCATAATTAGTTCCAAAATGAGATTTATTCTCTAATTTTTCAACTATATAATCTTTATATTTAACAGTTTCATCTACAACAAACAAATATTTTTGACATTTATGTTTTTCAATACAAATATCTATCCATTCATCACACGATAATTCAACTTCATCATTATCTTTGTTCCAATGTTCTTTCCCACCATAAGGTGGACATGTAAATAAACATACATCTTTTAAATGATTCCAATCTGTATTATTAGCAGTTAAAATATCTTGAATAGAAACTTTACATATATCAGAAATTAACTTTATATTCAATAATTTCATTTGATTCTTGTACATGTTTTTCATTTATATCAAAAACCAATGTATTGTTTATTACAATTAAATGTTCCTACATTCTACCACTAAAACCACTAAAAGGGTCAATAATTATGTCTGCTTCTGGAATATATTTTTTTATTAAACTTTCAGCTAAACTAGGTTTAAATACTGAAATTTTAGCAGCAATTTTAGTAACATTAAAACCTTGCAATATATCACTAGGTTTACATAAACCTACATATTTTAAAACGATTTAATGCACATTTATAAATCAAATGTTTATCATTCCAAGCAGTAAATGGTGAAGGTTTTCCTTTACGATTAGCTTCATATATACTTTTATGAAAATGTTGTATTAAACCCATATCACTTGTATCATGCAAATCATAATTTATATATGGAAATTCCAAATCATTTTTAAATAAAGGTATAAAATCTTTTGTATACTTTTCATTAACATAATCAATATATTTTTGAACAATCTGTAATAATCTTTACATTATTATTTTTCATACATTGATGCTTAGCTTCATATAATTCATCCATAGTTCTATCAAATGGATTAATCATTATACAATTAGTATCTTTATCTTTAAAAAACTGCTTACCTTTAATTTCTATAAAATTATTTCTACTTTAAAATCTGGAAAATACTTATGCAATTTTTCTTTACAATAATAATCAAAAGATATATCAGGCTGAAATTCAAATTGTATATTATTATCTTTTAACCATATATAGTATGCCAATTCCCAACTACTATCAAATGTTTTATTATCAAATATATATTTTTTACTGCAATTTTTTCTAAAATCGGCTATCTGTGAAGGATGTTCTACACCATATTTTTCTAAACATGTATTTTTTCTTTTTAAATATGATTCTTCATTATGAGCCAATTTACCATAATCTATATGTTCTTGATGACTAAACAATGACAAATATGATTCTTTACCATATTTATTTTTCATTGTATTTTTAAATCTTTCTGTCCCAAATCCAATAATTTTATTATTTTTTATACGTTCTTCTTTAGTAATATTTTTTAAATATGATTTAGAACCATATTTATTTAACATAGTATTTTCACGCTGTTCTTTTGTATCAATACATGCACATTTTGTACTACAATATGTTAAATATCTAGTTCTTCGCCATGATGTTTCTTTATTACATACTTTACAAATACCTTCATGCTCTAATTTTAAAAAATTATCATAATATTCTTTATATGTAATATCATGTTTTTGTCTTATATGATTTGAAATAGAACGTATACTATCATTCAATTCTTGTTCACATATTTTGCATATCATAACATAATCTCCTTTATTTTAAGACGAATTGGCGTTCGTCTAATATATTTATAAAGTTAGAGGTAGAGCGCCAACTCTACCTCAATCAAGGATTATGTAACTTGACTGTCCTTTATTATTGTTTAATTTAAATGTTCTACTCGTTCATTTATATCCTGTAATCTGCCTTGTGCCATATTATTAGCATTGCCCAGATATCCACAAACTCTTCGTATTACATTCATCATACTCAAATCTTCATTTCCACAATTATCACAATGCCAATGTAACTTACCATCTTCTGACTTAATCATCTTAATAGTACCAGTTCCACCACATTTGTGACACCAATCCAATTTACAATTAATTTCTGCATACATAATAGAATTATAGATATGCTTTATTACTGCAATAATTGCATCAATGTTATTTACCAAATTTGTAGTTTCAATATAACTAATTGCTCCACCTGGTGATAACTTCTGGAATTCAGATTCTATATCAATCTTACTAAATGCATCGATCTGTTCAAATACTGGAACATGATAACTATTTGTTACATAAGATCTATCAGTAATACCTTCTACCTGACCATATCTACGCTGCAATGCCTTTGCAAACTTTTCTGTAGTATTCTCAATTGGTGTTCCATATACTGAATAATCTATCTTCTCAATCTGCTTCCATTGCTTACATTTATCATTCAACATCTTCATTACATCCAATCCAAACTGCTTTGCATCTGGATCTGAATGTGATTTACCAGTCATATACTTTACTGTTTCATATAAACCAGCATATAGTACTCTGCGTTGATACCACTGCTTATATAACAAATCATCAATTACTGCACCCTTAGGTAATCTTGCAATTGCACCATACTGCCATAGAATTGGAGCTACATCTGACTTTACACCTCTTAAATGTTCATGTCTCAATCTCAATGCTCGATGACATAATTCCAAACGCTTATCCAATTCATACCAGAATTCCTTTACATCACCTCTTGATGCTAATGCTACATCTGGCAAATTAATTGTTACCACACCCTGATTAAATCTACCATAATACTTACCCTTCTTTGTCTTTGGATCAATATATGGTGTCAAGAATGATCTACATCCCATACATGGATAACAATTACCCTTACCCTTCTTATCAATCTTCTGTTCCAACATTATCTTTTCTGAAATATAATCAGGAACCATTCGTTTTGCTGTACATTCTGCTGCCAATCTTGTCAAATAGAAATACTTTCCATCATTATTAACATTATCCTCTTCCAAAACATATAATAGTTTTGGGAATGGATTTGCATAATATACACCAGCTTCATTCTTTACACCTTGAATTCTCTGCTTCAAGATTTCTTCAATTACCATAGCCAAATCTGCCTTCTGATCTTCATCTTCTGCTTCATTCAAATATAAACAAA